TAGGGCAGAGAACCAGTTGTTAAATTATTTGAATCCCACCACTGGCTGAGGGGGTGTGATGACCATCTTTAAGAATGTTTCTCAGTTTCAGAGCTTTTAAGATGGGTGGACTTCAACTCCCAGAATTCCCCTGCTAGCATTTATTACAAATTAAAATGTAGTTATCCTTCAGCTTTCCTACCATTCCTTTCTTCAAAGAATATGTTTATTTCCTTTTTTTATTCATGGGGGAAAAAAAGAAGAAAAAAACAAAAAAGCAAAATTAAATCAACCAAAAAACCCCACAAGAAATATATTTTAACCAGTGCTTAAAGAATTCATTAAACCTTGACCACACTATGCAATATTTATTATCATCTTTTACATTAGCCAAAACCAGAAAGCCAACTTTTATCTGTGATCCAGGCTACAATTTTCTATCATTTGGCGTTAAAAAAATCCATAGGTCTCCGTATAGTGAAAAAGTTCAGATTCAGAAGTATATCAATATCCTCTAACTGTAAAACCAAAGCACAGTCTTATGGACTTCCATCCAACCTGGAACACCTAATAGAACAAGGCAACATTATATGGAAAAGACTCCACTAATATAGTTTACACTTCCAACATAACGACTTTGATAAACCGCCTTTTAAAAATATTCCCTAGTGCATTTTGTAGACATGAAACGGCTTTCGTTCAGTCAAACTCCTCTTAAGATCATAAGAAATACACTTAATAATTTAAAGTCTCTTTGCATCACTGACTAGAATTCTACAAGATTCAAAAATAATTAAAATAATTAATGTCTCTATCAAATAAAATAAAATGCAAATATAAAATTATAACTAGATCATTGAGGCAATAAAAGGAGGTCCAGCTTTATGGATACTATAGCAGAATTTAGCCACATTCAAGGAAACAGAATTATACTTGTCTCATCACAGGAAGTGTACATAAAATATATCTGAATTCTCTGAATGTCTTGCCAAATAGGAAGTCATAAAGTGGACACTTATGTCCCTATAGAAAAAACAAGGAATGAACTAGCAATTGACTGGTTCCTTCTTCACAAGGGCACAATCTTCGCTCGTAAAGGTTTTTTTTTAATATTTGCCCTTGAGAACAGCTGTTAGGAGGATATTGAAAAGAGCTAATGTTAGTGCTCCTTAGAATTCAGGGAGAGCTGCCTGCTTTAAGTGTCTTGCAGCATAAAATAAGGGGCATTGCATCACCATTCAAGAACACAATGTGGAGTAGGGTAGATCAGGGGTCACCAACCTTTTGGACCTCGGGGACCACTAAATTCATAATTATAAATTTTAAAATCCCGCGGACCACTAATATGATTTTTTAAAGCAATAAATAGTATTTAGTGCAATATAAAAAATGCAAATAATTTTTCTGCGGACCACCAAAATTTGCTTATGGATCACCAGTTGGTGACCGCTGGGGTAGATTGACCCAATTAGACTTCCAATTATCTAGACAAGTATCATATTGCTTGTATGGAGTAACAGGCAGAGGTAGTATTCAGCCGGGTCAGAGCGGCTCACCCAAACCGATAGCGGAAACAGGAAGTCGGCCATGCTGGGAAGGTCTCTGCAAAAGGAGGGAGATAGCCACAGAGGGCAGACAGGAAGTTGGCCATGCTGGGAAAGTCACTGACATAGGAAAAGGGATAGACAGAAAGTTCTTTCCAGCTGAAACAAGGGGTCACGTGGTAAGTCACATGATTTGTTTGGGACTGGTCCTTTTTAGAAGTTGTCACACCTACCAGAACTAATGAACATTGTATACAGAGCTACCATTGTACGTAATTTTTGTGGCTTTTGGGCTTGAAGGCACTTGGAAAAACTCATGCTTTGTTGTATTGCCTGATCGGCACCCCCACCACGGGCATGTATTTTAAATGCTAAGATCTTTATTAAGAACTTCATTTTAATGTAATCTCAAGTGCTTTCTTAAGGAAAAAAGAAGGGAGCTAGGATACTCCAGCCGCTGCTTGTGATTGAAGCTCTACATCATCTGCATGCAATAAGATCACAATGTGTTTATTAGCTACTTTAGTCAGGGGTGATGCTCCAAATTACTTATTTTGGCCACAAGAGGGGTTATGTGCAAATGGAAAAACGTGGGAGGCTAAATGTCTTACTCTTCTTTAATTTGGAATTTCTTTAATATAGTGGCTTTCCGTGCTACAACACACTTTTACTCTGAAGCTCCCATGGAGTCTGAACATTAACAGGATTAACTAGCTATCTTTTGTAGCATGCATGAATTTACCCACGACTTTAGTCTGGAAATGAGAGCAAGTGTAGCACTGGAGTCAATCAATGTGGGACATAATACCAAACCTGGCTCATTTAAATATTGTGGTCTAACATTGGAATATAAGGACGTGGTCTAAGGAAGGCGGCAAAACTCTAAAACCTGCCTGTTTATTTGCCAAAATATACCCTGAACTGACCCAATCGGACAATTTATTATATAAGTTCTTGGCATAAAGCTGACTTCTTTTGCTTAAGAAGTTGCTAAACTGGTAATTAGTAGCAACTCTTGATTGCTTTTACCCATCACAGTGATGATATTTCATTATTTATAAAGGACTAGTGAGGCTCCATTATTGTTAAAATCTGCTGTCCTCTCTTAACCTTTCAATTTAAAAAAGAAATGAATAGGTCAACTGTTTTATAGTCTGATTTAGGCCACCCAGAGCTACTTTTTCATGAGATGTGTGGCCATATAAATTTTATGAATCAATAAATAAACTTGGGGTTATCTAACGTAGGGTCTCCAACCTTGGCAACTTTAAAACTTGTGGACTTCAACTCCCAGAGTTCCTCAGCTAGCAAAGCTTATGGCTCTAGATCCCTGATGGCAAACCTATGGCATGTGTGCCAGAGGTGGCATGCAGAGCTCTCTCTGTGTGCACATGTGCAGTTGCCAGCTGCTCTTCCAAGTTCCATCATGCACATGCACACCAGACAGCTGGTCTAGTGGACATTCACACGGTGGCCAGCTGCTCTCTTCTGGGTTCTGGTGCACATATATGTGCTAGAACACGGAAGGCAGTAGCTGGCCAGTCCGCATGCACACCCCGGAACCTGGAAGTGTAGCTGGCTACCATGTGCATCAGTGGTGGATTGCAGGCAGTACGCCCCAATACGGGTGTACCAGAGCCTGCCCGAAGCACCGGGTACTGCTCCAGTATGGTGCTCAGGAGGGCCCACCCACCTGCCCATACACCTTACCTGTCTTTAAAGTCTTCGGCGTTTCCGTGCACGTGCACAGCTCATACAGCGCCTGCATGACGCCCCGCCGAGCAGCTGGAGCATCACAGAGGCTCGCAGAGGTATCGCTGGATGGCAAGCTGCATGGGCACGCTGCGCACGTCCATGTGGACAATGCCGGGCCAGTTCCAACCATCCCAATTGGAACGGGATCTGGAACCCACCACTGATGCGCATGCACACTTGCCAGCTGCTGTCTTCCAGGTTCTGGCACTCCGGCGCTTGCACACGCCAGTTTCAGTACTTGGTGCCAAAAAGATTAACCATCGCTGCTCTAGATTATGAAAGAATTCTGGGACTTGAAGTCCACAAGTCTTAAAGTTGCCTAGGTTGGAGACCTCCAATCTAAGGCACCCTCCAAGGCTCATAATCCAGGAGCTGCATGTGAATTAAGATATCTGGGCCAAACTGTGAGCTGAAGAGGACTTTTCGTTTAATATCACGCAATTAAAAAATCTTAAATCAATCTAAATTTCTCCCACAATATTATGACAATGACTATTTCAGACAAGCCAGGTTCATATTCATGAACAAGTCTGCAAATAGAATATATTGGGTAATTGTTTGAAATTTGAACAAAACTGCAAACACAAAAATATTTATGCTAAATGAAACATACATTAGGATATGTGCAAACTTTTTCTTCCGTGCACGTTTCAAGCAAGTATGAAAATAGAAGAAAGGAAGCTCGCAAATGAACACATAAATTTAGAAAGAAATCAAATCTCATCTTAGACTGAATTTCTGAGCCTCTCCATCAGTTCTCCAGCTGATGATCACTTTCCTGCCCTCTGGAAAACAAATGCATGATTTATACAAAACTATGGTATTGGTCAGTTGTTTTCCTTTATATGCTGCTTTTGATCATGGATGAAATTTCAGAGGAAACTTTCTCCAATTCATTTATAGAAGATTTTTCTCTAGACATCTCCTCTAAACGTACACCATTTTCTACAAAGCTTTTGAAAAGAGAATTACAAACACCAACGGTTCATATGCATTTCTTCTGCTTGTGCTACACCATTCCATTCTTAAACCAGTGGTAGATTTCTTCTACATCCCGAGTGTGCATTCAAGCACAGCTGCATGCACAATTTGGGGCTTCAATGGTTTTGGATTTTTCTTACCTGCCATGCTTGCTCAAGTAAGAGCAAAACGTGAAAAAGCATTCTCTGTTTCTATCTTAGGACTGCATTTTCCCAGTGCAGAAAAGTTACTCTGGTTTCGAGTACCAACAAATGTGAATATGAAAAACATGTTTATGCAAAACTCTATTATAGCTCTAAGTATTGAGGATTTCAAACTTGGCTAACGAATTTTCCGCAAGAACATGACTGCAACTTCGTTATTGAACAATACAGCACATTTGAAATAGCAGGACTATTGTATTCTGATAGACAATTTCCTCTGGATACCATCTTTCATTTAATGGAGAACATTTGTATACTTTCACGAAAGGAACATTTTGGCAAGATTAAACAGGCAACTGGGGGAATCTTACATAGCAACCAGACCAATGGCAACCTCAGCAATAATAAGCAGATGTTCCTGTAAAGAAAGTCCAGGCACTTCGAGAACACTTTGCAAAACTATGGCATTGCACTGGCATTAACAGTATTTTACATACACTATCAAATGGTTTAATTTGTCCAGTTGCGAAGGATACAACAGGTAGGATTTTTTGATGGCTTTCTTTTTTAAAAAAAGAGTTGAAGTTGTGTCTCCTACCTATCAATGATCACGGGATCTGAGGGAGTCTCGTTACGGTTTCCGCAGCTCTTCTTTTCACAGCAGCGGCTGAGGAGGAAATAGCACAAAAGGAAAAGAATTCAGTAATTATAACATATAGGGCTACATAATTGTTTTGGAGGGATTTAAACTTTAAAATTTAAACTCACTCACCTTAATTTAAGAAAGGGCATTGGGTGCTTCATGCTAATGATTTATTTATTTTTACTGATAAAAGTGAAAACCACAATAACTGGGGAGTGTCTCTGATACTAGGCTTCTGCTAAAGAACAGCTTCAACTTTGCTTCCTAGACATCCACATTGGTGGTGCTAAAGCAGGGGTGTCAAACTCAATTTCATTGAGGACCACATTAGGGTTGTGGTTGACCTTGGGTGTGTGGGTGTAGCTGACTGGGCTTGGCCAAGTTGATGCCACTCACTCTTCGCACTGGGTAGACTGGGCCAAAGCGACATGGGCCAGCCCCTTACATTTTCCAGGATGGCCTCACAGCCAGCTCTGACCACATTGTGGGCTGGATCTGGCCCGTGGGCCTTGTGACACCCCTGTGCTAAAGAATAACAGAGAAGGCTCCGATCTCCAGCAAAGTGAGATTATTGCTGAAGGAGAAGAATTTAACTTAGGCATTTGCATGCCAAACCCCAAGAAATTAAATATTAAATACATGGATAAATGCCAAATGTTTACATTTTCATGTGCTACTATATATTCTGAATTTGGACTATACGTTAAATTATAAATTAATCACCGCTAGTTAGATTCATGTAATACAGTGAGGCTTAAAGAAAAGTTAAAGCTACCCAACTTAATGTATTGGGTGAATGCAACCTCTAAGCCTGGGAATACAGATACCTCTCTTAGAGCATGCCAACTCCTACCACAACTGAATTTTTAATTTTTCTTTAGTAAAAAAAGAAGGTGCAAGAATACCTCAGAATCCTTAGTATTCCTACTAATCCTCCTTAGAAATTTAAAGCATAGTCATTGAAACTCTTTAATGTACATGACCATGAACAGGAGGAGGAGGAGCTGGAACAGTCAAGAGTAACATGAATGGGTCATTGCCAAAACATGTAGCATTGTGGGAAATTGAGGGCAGGTGATTGGTTGTACCTCTCAAATCAGCTCTTTTATATAAATGGGCAATCTTTCCAGAAATGTAACTGACAGTAGGAATAACCCTGAGGAACAGGAGGAAGAGACACAACCAAGACAATGTCAGATACAATAAATCTGAGTCTGGGGCAGAAACATAATTTNCATTATAAAAAGGAAACTCCAGTCTGGATTTGTACAGTAAAATGTGTTGCTGATGCCAGTAGCAACAAAACTGAAATTGACTTGAGATGCAACAGGGGATCTTTGGGTGATTTTATTCATTTGTTGGCTTTTGCAAGTCATTTGAGGTAGGCACCATGCCAGACACCCAACTCCAATACCTGGGTAAGTGTCCCTCCACCTAGGGCCACCTTCCTTTGTAGCTTTCCTAAACCCACATTCCAAAAGTGGTTCAAAACTATAGCATAAACCCCTGGGGAGATATCAAAACTACATATGCATTGCACAATTATTGACATTCATACAAAGTTGAATGTTAACAAATACGGTATATTCACATTTGTCACCACCTGATGGAGACCAACTCCACCATTAAAAAAAAAAACAGTGTTGCTTTGTCTAACCCTTCCCCAATCTAATGCTTTCCAAGATGTATTGGAAGACACCTTGAGGAATATTGTAACACCCCTCCCATCATACCCAGTCAGGGTAATACCCATACTGGTTACAGGTGATGGAACTTTCAACTAAATATACCAATGATTTTTAGTATATAAGCATCCTTCTCTGGTCCTAAAAGATAAGCGAAGTCAGAACTGGTTAAATGTTTGGGTGGAAGACAAGCAGAAAAATCCAAGATGTAAACTGAAAAGTTTTTTTAAAAAGGAAATTTCCAAAGAAGGCAACAGGAAAGAATTTCCATTTTGCTTCCAAGAAAACTGTATAACCTGACCATGAAGAGATATATGTGTGTCTATGACATCACCAAGAGTAGACAGGTGGCTTTACCTTTTTCACACCTGGAGGGCACCACATTGGGTGCTAACCCTGATAATTAACTTACTCCTCCATGGCCCTTGGTTGAGAGTGAGCTGCGGAAGGACTTACCATTGCTGTACAGAAGCTGCAATTTGTAGTGAGTCCCATTATTTGTTTTTTCATTGCCTTGCTCCTGAGAAGTAAAAGAAAGGAAAAATGGTTCAGGAAGAATCTGTGGTCACACATCACACTTAGCCCTTAATGGTGTTCATCTAATGATTTGGTGAATAAGATGAGTTGCCACTACTAGAAACCATGTCTTATAAATCACAGCGGCTAGCTTGGCACAACAACGAACCAGATCTGAACAAGCTACTTTATAGTTACTGGGATGTGTGAATCCAGCCTAGAGCATTTCCAGAAATAAGCTCAGTTCATGAGTCTTTGCAGCCACAGAATTAACATCAGCATCACCATCTTTCCTGTTGCTTGTTCAGAAGTTGCAATAACTGTGTTTGTTAGTGCTTACTTAACGCAAAACTGAATTGTGGTTTATTCAATTAATCCATTTTTTTCAGCTCCCGCAGCACACTGAATTATAAACTAGACATATCACACAGGGACAAGTTGGAGGTTTAATGTGAGTTACAAGTCGCAGCCACTCCGCTCAATAGAAGCTTAGTAACATGGCAACCAACCTGGGTTTAAGGAAATTCCTTTTTAACGCTAGTTAACACATGCAAATTGAGTTTGCTAAAAAGTTAGCTCTGTTGGGCTCCTGCTCCCAAACAACCCTACATAACATTGTCCCGATTTAAGATTCACAGGAGTGAGAATTCCTGAACAGGAGGCAGATTTTCCAACTAGCCTTACATTTTTATTGTAGATAGCCTTTTCCCAAGGGCTGCATATGCCAGCTTCATGCGAATACCATGCAAGGGGAGATACTTTGTGGTTTGGGTCCTGCTAAAATAACCAGGAAGGTAAGGGACAGCCTGTTGGGCTAGTTCTTTTTTCTCCTGAAACTTTTCACAACTGGGCACAGAGCAAAGCAGTGTCTGTTTAAAGAAAGATACCCAAGAGTGTGAGGCAAAGGGGGGGGGGGGACCCCTGAAAATAGGGCAGTTGAACTTCATTCTGCAATACCGGAAAATGTCCGTTTAAAAACTAACAGCTACCTGAACCGCAAAGATCATAGAGGGGGAAGCCACGAGCGTCCAAATTCTGACCAGTTGCATGGCCCTTTCCCTCCCCCCACTACGAAGAGAAGCTAAGTCGAGACTACAGTCCTAAATTCCACCCTCTTCTTTCGGAAAAGACCTGTCCCTGCTTCGAAAGGACTAGATGTAGAGAGGGACAACCTGGGTTTATGCGTGAAATTAACAAGGCCCGCCTTGAACAGTGGGTGAAATTGACTAGGGCTCCAGGTGTGCTCTCAACCTGTAGCTCAATAGGGCGGGAGAGTTCTTTCAGTTGGAAATCAAACTCAGCTGCTCTCCCATCCATTCGGATTCGGGTAAGTCCAGATTCGCTCGGAATCCCGTCCTAGCTGGGGATTTGAGGCAGGGGTAGCTTTTAAACTCGAGACTGAAATTGACCCAACCGGGCCGAATCATTAGTTCGCGAAGAAAATCCGGGAAAAAGGAAAATGAGAATTATGATTCGGGAGCCCAGCTTCCCTAGGATCAATTAAAAAAGAAAAAAGAAAGCAGCTGCCTGGATGCCACTGTAATTTGGGGAAAGGTCTTTTTTTGCTGGCTACGGATCGTGTCACATTCATTGCGGCAAGAAAGGCAGAGTAAGGCGGGTTGGATTGGGGCAAGCAAAAAGGACAGGAGGCCGGGAAAAAAGAGACCCTTACTTTGTCGTTTTCCACGAAGTCCACGAAAGCCGTCCGCTCGATTTCCACGGGCTGACCCTGCCGGTCGTAGAGAGCCAAGACGAAGTGGAAAAAGTTGGATTTCCTCAAGTTGGAAGGAGGCTGTTTTTCGAAGTGGGCTCGAGACAAAGCCACGCCGCTGGGGAGGAAGGAGAGGGGCAGCCGGGATTAAAAGCAGAACGAGAGAAAGAACCAGCGAGGCCCGAAGCCCGCCCGTTCCCTCGCCTTCGGTCGCGGTACCGTCCAAAGCCAGGCGCGAACAAGGGCAGCTGCCTCCTCGGCTACGCAAAATATTTCGGCGGTTCAAGGACACTTACCTGCGCTAAAGACCCCGAGGCAGGAAATTTCCCACGCACCCGCTTTTGGATTAGCCTGTTTGGGATTAGCCCGTGCGGGAATTTAGCCAGCTGCGGCCGAAGAAACTACCTTTCCTGGTTTAGGGAAACGTTTGAAACCAGCCAAGGCGCTCTGAGAAATCATACCTTGGCTTGGCGAGAGCACAGCCCCTGGACATCTTTTTCAATAAGGTTTGGGGCTGCAGCCGCCTTACGTTTTGACCGTGCAGTCGCCTCACTGGGTAAACCATGACTGAGTTCACACAGCACGCAAAGCCGGATCCTAATCCAATTGGGTTTTCCGCGTTCTCTAAAAAGCGAGTCGTTTTATGTTTGGGGCCTTGGGTGGGGGGAAAAAGTTTACGGAGAGGAGAATCCGTTTTGTTACACTCCGTTCACACAATATACCAAGCCTTAAACACGCGTTTTATCCAAGTAACCTCAAGTAGCTAGATTGTCGGATTGAGCTGAATCCTAAACCACGTTTCAGAAACCCAAGTAACAATCCTATACACTCCGCCGCCCCAAAACAATCCCTCGAACCATTTTAGGATTTAGCCCCCGCCGTGTGAACCCGGCCGCCGACAGAGAGAGAAGGTCAGATTCTGCGCCTCTTCCTCTTCGAGGCATCGCCCTGCTTAACCCCTTTTTCAGCCAGTTTCTGCAAACTGAAACTTCGTCTGCACTGTGGATTTTGGAAGGCGGCTAACTTTCTAAGTTGCCCCGGGTTTAAATAAACCATGGTCTCAGCCTTTGACCCAGGTTTGGAGGCTGAAACAGCCAACCATATACTATCCCACGCATAAGATTAAATCGACATTCAGACGGCTAATTTGCGGTTCAATTTATCCAGCGAATATTAACGTTATTAACCAACTTTCCCCCTGCCGTCCTTCCCATCTCCATCACCCGCTTCATCCGGTCGTGGGGTGGCGGAGGGCGGGGGAGGAAGTCTCGACTCGCTTATAAGAGAGCAAGCGAAAAGATTCAGAAAAGACGCACGACAGGGAGGAGAGGGTAGAACGACGGATTCACCTGCTGAATTTCCCGTTTTCTCAAACATAATTTTATCACTGGGGTTTTTCCCCCTCCCGCAGTTATGAAATTGCGAGTTTTCAGTTCTGTACACCGGCACCCGAGCCGTAGGCAGAACCAACGGGGCTGACTTCTGAGTAGACCAGGGTAACCGTTTTTCTGACCCCATGCGCCAAACGGAATAGCTTCCTTCTCCGATGACGCGGCCATCGATTATAAAACAATAATCAAGGTGAAAAAAGCAGCTTGAAGAGACAAGTTGTATCATCCCTTCAAATATTTCACGACGCTTCATATCCCCCCCTGCACCACCATTTAAAAAAAAATCTCTTTTTAGATCCCTCCCTCAACCGTAATCCAACAGGCAAGTAATTGCTAAAATAGCAAGACTAGAAAAGTGGAAATCGGGGAAGGTTCTCTCTCTTCCCCTTTCTAGGACATCAGAGGATGTCCCGAAAACTCAGATGGCCTTGTGTTATTTTCGTAGAAAACCACAACATTTTGCGCTGCTGGGCTTACACGGGAAATATGCCCCCTGGATATCAGTTGAAGCCGCTTTCGGACGTTTAAGTTAACCCTCACACTGCCTGCATTCACACAACCTACTGGAACCGCAAAGAAGCGGGACGTGTTTTAGCAGAGCTATCGTAGGAAACCCACAGAAATAGTTAGTTTAGGATTGTGCCCAAGCAGGAAAACTGGATTCGTTTTAATTAAGGGTATACTTGAGTGAGCCACGGGCAAGAGAGTCGGGGAAACACAACGTCAAAGTAGCATTTCCAGCCTGACCCAGCTCTTTAACGCTGATGATGCGGGCGCACCAACAAGCTAAAAGGGCCAAGCGGACAAAGAGATTGCGGTGTTCTAGGAGTCTAATTCGGATCAATGACAGATGATCAATAGGGATGGGGGCCTCTCTTCTCCATATGGCCACCAACAGCTAGTGCGCATTGATTGGGAGGAGGAGAGAAAGTAGGGGCTGCATTGGATCGGAAAGTTTATAGATTGTTCACCTAAATACAAGACATAATCGATCCTTTTTAAAAACAAATCCTTCCTGGAGCCTCGAGCTCACTCTCTACTCTCCCTCTCCCCACCCCGAAACACGTTTCTTGAAAAAAAAAACTCTGGGGTTTCAAAGAGGAGTTATTCCAAATATTTGGACTGGGCAATGAGACGATCCACGCACTTGCTCTAGTTCCACCGGATCCGCTTGAAAATCCGCGCATCTTCACCCACAAGGGAGTCGGAAAACCGTTCGATCCGGCGTCAAGCTGGCCCGGAAATCACCCTGGAGCGAGTTTATTCTAAATCCAGCTTCTTTGGGGACTTGGAGTACAGTCGCTTGGCTCAACCGACTGCGCTGCTCTGCTCTGTTTACTCGAGAGTGAAGCTCCCGAGGATTTTGGGAAGCTGGTGCCAACAACGTTGTTTTCGTACAAGATCGCAGCCTTGCCCTGCCCTTGTCTTCTCTTTCTTTGCGCCGATCCTACGAACGTAGACTACAATAACCCGGAGGAAATTTTACAAGCTTCAGCCAAGAGATTTTTGGGGTGAGGCTTGAAAACGCCACTTGCTGTAGAAGTAAATCCCGCCACATTGAAAGGAGTTAAAATCATTGTATGTATATTGGTCAAGCTGAGGAGTTTTTTTTTAGGATTCATACTGGATGCAATAATCAAAGCACAAGTTGTGTGTTCGAGTTCAGTAAAGTAACCAGGTTTGAATTGGCATGGATAGATCCATCTCACCGCTTGGGAATCAACTTGGCTCGGTTAAATGGGATCTCTTTCTCAATATCTGCACCTCGATTAAATGTGATCTCTTTCTCAATATGTGCACCTCGATTTTAATTTACAAACGGCTCAGAAGTGGAGCCTTACCAGAAATGCACTTTTACTCATATCGAAACTTAGAAAGGGGGGAAACTATTTTCTGCTGGATTTTGCTCTGAATTTCACCTCCCAAAACTTGGGTCCCGCAAAAGTGGTTTTAGGATCGGAAGAGTGACTGTTCCCCGCCACCGCCCCCCACCCGCCCCAAAGGATCAGAATATCAACTTTCCAAGCTAATGTCTTTAGGGCCGAGGACTAATTTGGGAAACATTCGGTGTAAAATTGCCCTTCAACAGTCTTTGCATCCCTTTTTAAATGAGGAACATTTGTAAGGAAAGGGGGGGGCTGTCAAATTCCCTTGAAGGGCTCATCTAATATCGCCTTCCTTGGCAGCTGCAGAGAGAATCGAGACAAATTTGATTTCTGGAGGAGAAACAAACAAACAAGCATACAAGCCAGCTTCGGACAGGCGTTGAGCCAGAGGAGTACAAAAACCCGGCTTTTGATGAATGCTGTTAGTACGCCAACACTCAACTCACCGAGAGATTCCACGAGAGATCTATGATCTATTATTTTCCTCCGGAGGTTTGGGAGCTGCTGCTGCTGCTGTATAGTTATTTGGCCCCAGGTGAGAAGGCAGGAAGACCAGCCCGAACCTTTGAAGCTCCTCATAGACCTCTGCACCCACCCACCCCGGCGAAAGTCGAGCCTGCCTTTTCTCTTCTCCGAAGGGAGAACTTTACACCTCAAGAGAGGAAGGAAAGGGTTTGTATCTACTCCCTTGAAGAAGAGGCTAAATCAAACCCGAGGCAATCCTGACCTTGACATCCAAGCCAAACTTTTTTGCGTCTCTGCGCCTGGGGGAGACGAGGGGGAGTTTACTGGCCCTTTTCTCAGCGTGCAATTCCCGCTGCATCTGACGCAAAAAGGCGCTCTCGGCTTGCGGCGTTCCAGTTGACCCCCGAGGAGGCCAGGGTAGATTTGCAAGGCTCGCGGGGGCAGGGGGGAAAGTTTCCCGGCGCCTGTTGTCATCCTGCTGAAAGCCCCCTCTCCGCCGAGTCCAAAGGGGTTTTTTTGTTTTTTTTTAACTCCGGGGTAGGACTTTAATTTCACGGCGGCGGTCCAAGTTTTAAGCGCGCTGGGGGGCGCAGGAGCAAGCAGAGAGGCCGGTTTTTGTCGGCGGTTGTGATTTTGATTCTTTCTGGCTTTTGGTGCCCAGGGCGGTTTCGGGTGGTTCGGAGCGAGAGAGCTCTGGGTTTCGAGAGCGATGAAGCTTTGGGGGGCATGAGCCCGTTGCCAGTCCCTCCTCACCACGTCCGGATGGCTGCAAACTTTGAGGCTTCCTTCGAACTTTCTCCCTTAGATCCCGCTTTGATTCTCTTCCCGACGTCGTTGAGAACTGAAGCTCCCCTCGCACAGCAAAAGGCGCCTACTTTTACTCCGTGGGGAAGGATCGCACGGAAGGATTTTTGCCTCACCGGAAGAAGCCGGAGGCTGGCTGCGAATGGCGATTCCCCGAGTCCAGGAAGTTTCTCAACTCGTCGCTTTCCCATCTTAGGGCTGAGAAGCCAGCCTGGATGGAGATCAGGCCTGGGCGACTAAAGCGGCGCAGAGCGAGCGTTTCCGGGCGTGCATGCTTTCAGGTGCCAACTCCATCTCAGTGGCCCAATTCACACAACACGGGAAACTCTCAAGTGTGCTTTTGTTTGCTTTTGACTCGTGATGTTCCGTGAAGCCCGCCAGTTTGAAAGTCGCGCGATCTGAGAATCCAGGCAATGTTGGTTGATTTTTAGGAAGTAGGGTGTATTAAGCTGTGTCTTTGCTGCACTGTGAGAATTCAGCCTATGGATCAGCCCACATCCGCTTTCCTTCCCTTTAGTCACTCACCCAGGCCAAGTTACTCAGCTTCCAGACACATAACACCCTAAAACTGGTGTAGCCTTCTAAATCAAGAAGTGCAGAGATAACCCCGGTCTTGCACGACTCTGATGTCAAGCTCCATTTCCCTAGCTTAGCCCTTGTTCGAAAGGGTCCCGTTGAGCTTACTTGTTTAGCACGATCTTTTCCCGAGTTTGATTTGAACTCCAGATCCAAGTACAACCGCCCTTCTCACTTTGCTGTAAGCCACGGTTTAGCTAACACAGCATTATTGAATAAACCACCATTGGCTGGTGTTCGTCAAGCATTCTAGCCACCCATTACCCTTGTCACGCCTCAAGTGTTGAGTTCACTCAACCCGCTAACCAAATCAATCACAGACTGGTTGAGCGGGTCGTGTGAATCGGGCCTAAATGTCATTTGCGGTTCAGCGCAAACTCCATCAAAACGTCCTTTCTCGGCTTCAAGAGTTATCTGTCCAACTTTGGATCGGGTAAGAATTAGCGCGTGCTGATCAGACGGTGAGGATGGCGTGCAACCTCTACCCCTCAAGTTTTAGATCCTGAAATAAAGAGAGTTAAATCGGATCTCGGTTCCTTGCGTGCCAAATGTGTTCTAGATGTTCAGTGTCAAGGATTTTAAAAGCTGATGTGAAAATACCAATTCAGTTTGGAAGTTGATAACTTCTGGTGGAGCAAGTTCTAATGAAGATCAGCCGTGGAGGCTACCGCCATCCTCACCTGGAGCCATTGGCACTAGAAAACGAGGATCGCTGACGGGATGGCACGACTTTCTTAAGAGAAGGAGCTGGGCAGCATCACACTAGGACCGTTTCCCCCAAAGTAAATCTGACGCCAGGCATCAGCTCCTAGAGAGCTGAAGAGACGAGGCCTCCTGAGTTCTTGGACCTGCTGGAGAGTTCAGCATCCTAAACTTTCTGAAAAACGGGCCTCTTGATTTCCTCTGGGCGCAGAACCCTTCACTGCCTACTGACAAGTAAACCCCAACCACGCCAAGAAGACTTCCTTCCAAGTTGACTAGGCCAACATAACCCCCATTCCTAGCAACTGGGGTTGCGCTGCGGAAGAAGCGCCAGATCCTTCTTTTCTAAGGGTGCGGAGATCTTCCCAGCCGCACTGAATGTGTGCAAGGAAACAAATAAACCGAGGAAGAGATCGGCCTGGGATCGACCACCTAAAGGGCTCGAGGAGCAAAGAGGGCAACGGCAACCCCCCTCCCCAACAAGCCCAAGCAGGAAGGGGAGTCAGCTGCAAACTCACGGTTTGATCTACTTTACCTTTGAGCGGCGACGTTGGCATCCACCACACCAACGTTCCTGACCCAGGAGCGGACCGGATCCATCTCCGACCCCAGCACCTTGTCCTTCAGGATCGGCCCTCTTCCTAACGTATCTTGGATCCCAAACATTTAAAAAAAATGTTTTAAAAAGTTTATTCCAAAACCCAAAACTAGGCTTTTCCGATGGGAGCAAACTTCCAAAAACCGGCAACCCACGCACCGATTCCTCTCCACCGCCGGAGCAGCCTCAAGCCGAACCGCCTCCGCCTTTCGGGACGAGTTGGAGGTTCTTGGAGGGATTTGGGTTCCCTCCCCGGTCCTTTTTTTTTAGAAAAAAGCAAAGCAAGCCTTAAACGAGATAACGGGGCGGAGGAGGAGGAGGAGGAGGGAAGCGGGCAGCGCTGCTTTGCGCCCCTCTGACGATGCTTGCAAGCCCCGAAATCGCGGATCTCTCAGCCTTTTCTTCCGAGGCGGCGAATCATCTTCTCTGCAGCCGCTGCCGGAGGGAGAGAGCGGAGAAAAGAGTCCGCATTGCCAGCGCGATCCTTTCCCCGAGAGCGCCGGTCACCTGCTGGCCGGGAGACCCGAGGGTCGGCTACACGGCTTGCCTAATCCACGAGGAGGAGGAGGAGGAAAGGAGAGCGAGCAAGGGGGAGCCGGGCAGGAGCGAAAAAGTGGGAGGGAGGGGGGAGAGAACGCGAAGGGAGGGGGAGAGCAGCCGAGTCAATGACCAAAGCCAGAGGCGAACCGCTGCCAAAGAAACTCTCGATCGCAGCTTGCGAAACGGTGGCAAAAGCGCGCTCGCTTTTTCCCCGCACCGAGATCACCATGAATGGGTTACGGCGAGGGGAGCGAACGTCCTAGAGAAAGGGGGCGGGACGGCCGGCCAAGGAAGGCGCGCCGATTTGCATAGGCTCGCCCCATTGGAGGAGAAAGGCAGGCGGCCGACGCTCCGCGTTCCGGGTTTCCAACGCTTCGAGGGGGGCGGGGCTTGCCCGGGTTGGAGGCGGGCGGGGCTGCCCAGGAGCCTTGGGCGCGAGTTGGGGTCGGTTTTGGAGCGCGGCTTTGACTTTAAGTCACTTTACCAAACGGCTTGTGAAACTGACCCGGGTCGGAGGGAGGTTAAGGGGGGCGGCAGGGGGGGGGGCAGAAAAGCAGCTTCGTTTCCAGCTGCGCCTCCGCAAGCGTTGGAGCATCCCAAGCCCTTCAAGCTTGCAGAGTGTCGCTTGCTTCCCTACGTTCAGCTGCTCCCTCGAAATTGCATCTGGAAAAGAAGACCAGCCTGGCTTGCCATTCGCACCTTTGCAGCAGTGGTGTATTAACCATTAAGCGGACCAAGCCCGTGCTTAGGGCACCAGACCCAAAGGGGGCACCACAAAGTTGAGAAAGGAAAAAAAAACCAGTGAAGATTTGTACAGTATGTGCAAAGGAGGAGGGGACGCCAAGATTGGTCAGTGCTTAGGGCACCAGTGAGCCTTAATCCGCCTCTGCTTTTCAGCCACCCCTGAACTTGTAACACCTTTCCGATGGGTTTCCCTTTGGTCTCGCTTCAATCGCTCTGACTCTTCCCCCTTTTCCAGATACTCTACGCCGCTTCGCTGGGCTCGGGGAGAAAAGGAAAGAAAACGGGAGGTGTGTGCGCGTGTATTTAATAAAATAAAATAAAACAAGAGGCAACTTCACAGCTGGGTTTACGTGAGAGCGGTCCTACAGACGGCTTCTTCCCATCCTTATGCGCGCTTCCTGGTGGTGGAAAAGGCGCCCTTATTCTGGCCGAAGGGTCGCTATCTCAATTTGCTTGCTTGCTTGTCGGGTGCCTTGCTTTCCAGAAATAGGTGTTTGGCTGGGGGAACTTCAGAGGAAGAAGCGAGGCGTTATTAAACTGTAACCTTTCACACGGGCCATTCCTACAGAGAAGGGGGCACAGCCACGCGCGTGCAAACCTACGCTCTTTATGAACTTTTATTATTTTTAAAGCCGGGAGAGATGCATAAGCGCCAGCGTTTCTGCAAACCTTGCCGCCGTCTCCGTCCGTCGGTCCGTCTTGTCGGAAAGAATAGCACGTCTGTATATCAATGCAAAGCGGCTTGGTGTCAATTCTCTCTTCCCCCCTCCCTCCCTGCCTCCAACCCCCGTTCCTTTTGAAAGGCGATCGGGGAGGATAGACCTGTCTCTGAAATCTATCTAGCACCGACGCGAAAACAGATTTCAAGACAATGCATGCAAATCTGGGCTCAGAAGCCATCTGCCAGAGTTGGAAATCAGATGTTCCCCAGTTAAAGTGACAGCGCCCGGGTTCCCTTGTCTGTTAGCTCCCCCCTCCTTCTAAGGTACCGCGAAAGTCCCTGTTTAATCCAACTCCTCGCTTCCTTTATTTATTTCGAACTCGCTGGAAAACAAAACAAAAACACGGAAAAGTTTGCATGCATCCGCGTTGAGATGCTTTTTTTTTTTTTTTTAAAGCCTAGTTAAGAATCAGATTAAAACTCTTTTATGAATAAGCTTAGGCGGCGAGAGGCTGGCGGAGGTGTGTGTGTGGGGGAAATCTGGCTTTTGGTCAAATGTAGCGGGGGAAGGGCAGGAAAGAAAAAGAGAGGTCTAAATTATTGTGTCCGCGTTGGTGACAGATCTGACAGGAGAGGACCAAATAAATCTGAAGGCCTTGCGTAGGGAAATGCTCAGTGACAATCCCTCCTTCCTTCAAACCTGACACTCGCCCTTTATATATTTATATTCTTTGTATTCAACGCAGAGGAAATGAACACCAATAAAACAATAGATTCAGTACCCTGACAGAAAGAGAAACTTTTGTTTATTTGCACAAATCCACCCTCAGAGGCGCAAAAACAAATAGGTCTTTCAGGGAGATGAACAGAATTGAAGATCACACACACATTTTAAAACCCTTCTTCCAGTATTCAGCGATTCAGAAATGTGGGCGCCCGCGCACCCCTTTCCCTGAGACTTCCCTTCGTCTGCGCCAAGTTCAGGGGAAATGGGGGCCCCCAAAACTTTGATGGTCTTAGGCGATTTTTGTTCCATGGATCTTTCTTTAAATCTGTCCCGAAAATTCTCCGGCGGTGAGAATAGCTGCTTGATAGCCTTTGGGGGAGCCCTCGGCAATTGCTTCCATTGGAAATGAGCGGGGGCCTTTAAGCAAACTTGCTGGGAGTCGATTTGAGGTGGGAGATTGTGCTCCCGGAGATCAGGGAAACGTCGAAGGCTTCACTGGGGGTATACAACCCCATTCAACGACCGTCGTGCCTGTTATTAATAATTGAAGATAGGCTAGGTGACCGCAATGAAGGTTGGGTGACTCTACCAGAAATATTTTCTGGAGAGGCCATTTGGTGTTGTTGGCAACCAATAAAATATTATCTCGACACCCCCGTCCCCGCCGCCACCCTTACACCCCAACCAACTCCAAAGTTTGGAATTTCTGGTGGTCTCACGTCAAGTCCGGCTTCTTATCAAGCAATGCTGGCTTGATGGTGGCCCCTGCCTTGTACACCACTACCTAAGAAAAGGCAGGAGCCATCTGTTCCAAATCAGCAGGACTGCGCCCGGGGACCAAGATGGAAAGATGGAGAGGAGGACACTACACGGATCTCAAACACGGCCATCCTGGTACTTGCAGGTATCAGGACAGATCTGTTGGCATTGGAGATGGAGGCCCCAGAAGATCAGAACTACCTCCTAAAAGGGAAGGTCCTGAGACTTACAGAGTTGAGTAACCAGGAAGGCATTTCGTCCTTATTTTGAAGATCTTGCCTTGCTACACAAAGCTCTGTGGAGCATGTTCACCGCTGGAAAAAAAAAGCTAAACTAAATAAAAAGTATCTCACACACAAATGCAGCACGGAGACCCCCTCAACTCAGCCATCCCAACTCCCACAAACAGGGGAAAGTGGGGTTCTTTTAGTGGGAGGGATTTTTGGAGTGAGCCCCGAAAGTCAGGCTCAGTAGGATCTCTGCTCAAGTGAGTTATTAAAAATGAGAGGGAGATAAATGGAAGAAGAAACAAACCTTCAACTTAAACGAAGGGAAGGAAAAGGAAAGGAAGGGAAGGAAGTTTAGTTTCCTCTTTCTTCTGAATAAGAAAGAAAAAAAAGGAGGGGAGAAGAAAAATATCCCCTCCAGCCTTGCGGGAAGCTGGAAACTAGGGGCTGGGGGAAAGGGAGGTCAGAGGGCAGCGGCAGCACCCTCCCCCTCTGTAGCAGCTGCCACCCAAATACGACTCTTCGGGGAATCTATGAATAAAGCCCCGGGCTCTCCTCTCCCTTCTTGCCCCGCGGCCCTTTCCATTTACATGATATTGGGTGGGTAGGTGCTGGTGGGTGGGGAGGGAGAGAGGGAGGGAAGCTGCCTTCTCCCTCTGCCCAGCCCAAGGCCACAGATAAACCTCCTTGTATTATCCAGTACCGGCGGTTCCTCTTCGGCTCCGGCCGCTGTCCCGCAATTTCAAAGTCGGGCGGACGGACGGAGCAGAGGAAGACGGACGGTAGTCTTCCTCTTTGACTCACCCGAGCTTTCTGGCTTCACTTGACCTGCCCCTTATTTGCAGGCGTCGGGAAAATCTTTCCTCGGGGGAAGGCTTCTGGCGTGGAGTCGACGGGGTGGGGGTGGGGGGCTACCCACGATAGCAAAGGCGTCTCGATCACCCCGCAGTCTCTCTGCCCGGGAAAACTCCGAATCTCAGGCGGTCTTTGAGTCACCCTAAGACCACCTTGTCCTGTGGTTCAAGTACCGTCTCTTCCTTCTCCCTAAATCTCTAGATTTATGACATCCCAGATCGCTGGAGAGAGGGGGGGGAGGGAGGGAGGGAGGAAGGAAGGAAGGAAGGAAGGAANAGGAAGGAAGGAAGGAAGGAAGGAAAGAAAGAAAGAAAGAAAGAAAGAAAGAAAGAAAGAAAGAAAGAAAGAAAGAAAGAAAGAAAGAAAGAAAGAAAGCTGAAACAGGCAGGCTGCTTGTAAAAAACCCACGAAATCAACTTTATGCCCGAGCGACGCGATTCCGACAGCCGCCGTTTTTGCAGCCCGGCTCTTAAAAAGCGATAAGGCGGCCCGAGAAGACTTGCTGTCTGCCCACCCCCCGACCCCCACCGAGCAAAGGAAGGAAAGGGAGTTATTTCTCTTTCTCTCTTTTTCCCCCCTTCTCCTGGCGAGACCAGCAGCTGTTTTGATTTTCCTGGAAGAAAAATCGCCGAACCCGTTTGCTACAGGTTGCCTCTGCACGACAGCTGGGCTCGTTTACAGGCTTAGCCACGCTGGTCTGAACCACGGTTTGGGGCAATTAAGCCAATTTTCTGGATCCCCGGACCCGTCGAATCTTTAGCGACCGATACCCGACGGTTGTAAAGGGATTGGATATTTAAGGGTCCGTGCTATGGGGAATGGGAGGTGGGTGGGAATGACCCACTCGGGTGTGACTCGAGCGCGTCCCGGGAATTAATT